GTGTGCGCGTGTGTGTGTGTGTGTGTGTGTGTGTGTGTGTGTGTGTGCAGTTGGTAGTTGGTAGTAGAGGAGGAGGAAGGACTAGAATTCATAGTGACTTTCAGGGTTTTATGTTTAGATTGTCTAGTTTGTTTTGTTTTGTTGGTTCTTTTTTTCGAGACAGGGTTTCTCCGTGTAGCCCTAGCTGTCCTGGAACTTGTTGTGTAGACCAGGTTGGCCTCAAACTCACAGAGATCTGCCTGCCTCTGCCTCCCAAGTGCTATGCTGTGATGATAAGCATTCCTGGCCGTTTTTAACTTTCTCTTGTTACTGTATATATATTTCTGTGTTGTTTGAGTCCTTCTCCAGAGAGGATGCATTCATTCCTAGTTTAGTATAATTAAAAAAAAAAAGTTCATTTCAAAAATAGTTAAGACTTGGTTTGTAGCTGTGAAGGAAGGGGGGATATATCAGGGTAGAACAGCTGGAGAATGCCCCCAGGTGGCAGTGCCCAGGGTGTTTGTGAAGTAGTGAGCAACAGAAACAAGGAACCAACAGAGAAGGGATGTAGCAGTTTGGTAGCTTGGTGCCGGAGGGGAAGTGAGTAGAAGACACGGGAGTCTGAATCTTTTGTTTCTGAGCAGGAGTGATGGTGGGCCTTGTAAGGTTTGTCGGAAGTGAACTGGCTGCCACAACTGTCAATTTCTTAGCAGGAATGCTCAAGTCCCAGCAGATGAGCTGATAAGAAGCAAATGAACTCATCTCTTACCATGTGGAAGGCCCATGTTCCCTATAGAGAATTGCAGAGTGAAACCCGTTACTGGACTCGTCAACAAACTAAAAAACAAAAACAGAAATGCTGTCAGAGACAGTAGGGAACAGCTACTTATTCCTAATCCTTAATGTTAATTTCACTAAATCTTTGTGTTACAAAAAGACAAACATGATATGTACTCACTCATATGTGGATTTTAGACATAGAGTAAAGAATTACCAGCCTGCAATCCACACTGCCAGAGAAGCTAGTAAACAAGGAGGACCCTAAGAGAGACATACATGGTCCCCTGGAGAAGGGAAAGGGTCAAGATCCCCTGGGCAAATTGAGAGCTCGGGAAGAGGGGGAGGGAGCTGGGAGAATGAGAAGGGAAGAAGAGGAGGGATGCAGAGGACATGAGGGAGCAGGAAGGTTGAGTCTGGGGAAGAATAGACGATAACAAGAAAGGAGATACCATAATAGAGGGAGACAGAGAAATCAGGCACTAGGGAAATGTCTGGAGATCTACAAAGATGACACCAGCTAACAATCTAAGCAACAGAGGAGAGGCTACCTTAAATGCCCTCCCCTGATAATGAGATTGATGACTGACTTATATGCCACCCGATAGCCCACATCCAGCAGCTGGTGGAAGTAGAAGCCGACACCCACAACTAATCACTGAACTGAACTGGAATCCAGATGCAGAGAAGGACGAGTGAAGAGCAAAGGGGTTCTGAAACCCACAGAAACAACTGACCTGAACATCAGGGAGCTCTTGCTCCCCAGACTGATAGCTGGGATACCAGCATGGGACTGTTCCAGACCCCAGGAACTTGGGTTTCAGTGAGGAAACCTCGGAAATCTAC